AGAAAATCCTCGAATAGGAAGGCAAAACCAAATGACCTTAATATATTTGCCTAGTAAACTCTCGAATTGCGCATTTCGGTAAAAAATTGTACGTTTTGTTTACTTGTAAACACTGATGAAACATTACGAATTATATTCTGTGAGAGATCGTCTTCGGTCTATACAGGGTGTCCCAAATTCGATCATCATCTTTGGGATCTCGGAAACTGGAAGAGATACAGGGTCGGTTAAAAGTGATGCAACTTGATGCTGATCAAAATGCCACCTTAAAAGTTCAACAATTCCGAATACCCACTTCCGAAGATTTTTGAAGAAAAGAAACGAATATACACAGTTTCATTTTATTTTTTTATGAGTACCGGGTGCGTCTCGAAACTGGCTCACCATTATAACTTAGAGAGATTTGGTACATTTGTATATGACATAAATTACGATTGATTGATGCATTTAACTGTTTTTGGCCACTTCCTTTTCACCGGAAATGACTACAAGTTTTGATTTTTAAATGGCGCCCTCGGTGTTTTTTTTTACTTTATTCGATAGGAAATGACAGTCTGAATAGAACGACATATCATATGTCAACTTTTGACATTTTCACTTAAAAAAAAATGGTATTTTGAATTTCAATCTAAAGTATGGCTGTGTTAAAAACACTAATTTTTAATCAAGGAGCCTTGGAAAAATAGATTTGATTGTCTAATGTTTTTCGTGTCTTGTCTTGGTCGGTTAAAATATGCCCAAATCGTATTTTTAATCATATCTCAATTTTTTTTCAAATGGAACAACAAACAAATAATTTAGTACCACGCACTTGGTATTTCGAGTCAAATTGTCGTTATACCACATGTTACAATTTCAAATAAACCATATGCGAAAATGTTAAAAGTTGACATATGATATGACCCTCTATTCAGAGTGTCATTTTCTATGAAATAAAGTAAAAAAAAAATACTGAGGGTGCCATTTAAAAATCAAAAGTTGTAGTTATTTCTTTAGTTAGTATAGTCTTTTCTTTCTTTAGTTACTTTAGTTTAGTAGTCATTTTCTTGAGGTTTATTATATACAGGGTGTTTCAAAACAAATGCGAAAAACTTCAGGGGGTGACTCCTTGTTCAACCATTAGGGAGATATCGCGGTGCAAAAATGGCGGAAAATAATGTTTTTATTTTTTATCTTGAAAACGAATAGAGATAGACTAATGAAATTTTATGGAAGCATTACTGTTACGAAAACACATTTTCTGGTAATTTTTTCACTTTTTTAAAATGAGTGGAAAGGTTTGAAATAAATTACCCCTATCATTCTTGTTAACGAAATTTAGAAAAGCAACACATGCAAAAAAATTAATTTGGATAGTTTAGTTTGTTAAGAAACTTTTTTATCTCTTGTGTTTTTTTGATAAAACTCACCGATTTGAAATTAAAAAATAAAATGTAAAGCATTACGTGTCAGGACAAAAAATCTAGTCGGCCGCTGTCACTTTTTAGGCTGTTTCCTTTGAATAAGAAGACTAAGGAAGGAGCATATAAAAAATCTTAGGTACACCGCGATGGGCCTCAAATATGGCCGACTTTAATTCCGGTTTATCAGTGTCGTTCTAATTTTATTTAAAAAATGTAAAACTATGATGTAGGGTAGACGTGGGGTAGACTCAATAATTTGTTGTTTTATTTTACGTTGTGAATAAATGTTGGTAGTTATTAAAATTGTTATAAAAATATATAATTCTAATAAAAATAGATAAGTTATAATAAGTATTTTTTAACACAAACATCCGATACGCTACTGAAGCAGGTAAGTCAAATTAACGTATCTAAATTCTTTGACATCTAATCTTTGACAAGTAATAAATAAAAGCTAAAATGCAAGAAAAATATATAATTTAGTTAATTTAAGTGAATTTCATAAATGATCGGTTTACTACACGTATGTATATTATACAGGGTGTCCCAGAAATAAGTGCAGATATTTTAACTGGTAGTATAGTTCAACCCCAGAAACACGCCTATGAGGTTTTTTTTGCGAAAAAAAAATGTTGAAAATTTAAAATTTTTCTTGACATTTTCCGGGAAATTTGAAAAAACTTTTTAGTGCCACTTGTTTATTCGCCTGAGATTTCTCTACGGTGTATCTAAACCATGCAGTGTTGTAACCTCCTATGTTATCCACATTCTACATAGTTCTACATTTATAAATTCATAGAAAAATTTCTACTCAAAAATTAAGAATGTTAAATTTTCATCAGTGCTCATTATTAATAATTATTATAGAAAAAAAAACACATTAATTATGTTTAGTACTTACCCTTTCAATGAAAACTTAACAAAAACCACCGAAAATTAACTAAAACATTACGTTTATGACGTTTACGAAAATGATTCATCATATTGTTCACAACCAGGTCACAAAAAAGAAATTCCTAAAATGTTTATCGTAATTTAGAATTCAATATTTGTTTTCTTTCATGTTTCTCTGTTTTATTTGAACCACTGATTTACAAAACACCTTGAAAACGCACATTACTTTGAATACCGTCTCTTATCGCCACTTTACGAACTACTTTCAATCTAAGACATGTTTCACTCAACAATTTTAAATACGTATTTTGTTTTTTCGCTATTTTTTCGATGTATTTTGACAGCCCAAACGTCGCGCGTCAGCCAAGAGTGCCACGTGTGAACTGGTCCTTTGAGCCGCGCCGTCGTGGCAGGCTTGCGTCAGACGACGATGTTAAGCAACGTTGCCGTAGTTACAACAATTTCAAATTCAAGACATTCGAAGCAATCAAATTCGTATTAAATTTTAAAAACAAAACAGAGAAACGTGAAAGGAAACAAACAAAACAAAAATGAATTGATTATTCGTCGGGCTGTTTTCGATATATTGAATTCTGAATTACGATAAACATTTTAGAAATTTCTTTTTTGTGACCTTATCAATAATCAATTCTTTTGTGTTTTGTTTGTTTCCTTTCATGTTTTTCTGTTTTATTTTTAAAATTTAATAAGAATTTGATTGCTTCGAGTGTCTTGAAATTGTTGAAACTACGGCAACCTCGCATGACGCAAGTTCGACACGCCGGGGCGACAAAGAAGCAGTGAGCAGTTACCAACCAGTGATGCGTGGCTGTTTTGGCCTACGGTTGGGTCGTCGACGGAATTGTCGAAATACATCGAAAAAATAGCGAAAAAGCAAAATACGTATTTAAAATTGTTGAGTGAAACATGTATTTTCTTAGATTGAAAGTAGTTCGTAAAGTGGCGGTAAAAGACAATAATTCTCAACATTTATTCATTCAGAAAGATATTCAAAGTAATGCGTAATGTGTGCTTTTCAAGGTGTTTTGTAAATCAGTGGTTCAAATTGTGATGAAGCCTATACGAAAATAATGTGTTAAGTTAAAAATGGGGACTGTTACTTTAGCAGTTTTTATAATAGCACGTACAAGTAAAGCAGCACAATGAAGTGTATTTAGTTAAGTGTGTATCGAAAAAGAGAACTGTCGCAGTTACATCGATCTGTCATAAGTATCTTTTTAATGTTGGGTAAGTTTTTTAATTTAACTTTTAAACATTTAACTTTTAATTTATTTTATGTAATAATATCACAATCTTAAAAATTTAATGCATCTCTGCAAACTCCTCAGGTGTTGTGATTTTATGACTTACTTGTAAACATAGACTTTCTTATCCATATGGCAACACAGTGCGTCGAATTAACTGAAATCCGGGCTTGATCCGGGTAATTGGATGTAGTTGGCAATATCTGCCGGCGGTTCTCAAAATGTTGCGATTATTTTTTTAAATTTTCAAAGTTAAATAACTCAGTTATTTTCAATTTATTTTGAAAATGGTAAAGAGAAAATATGTTTATTTTGACCAGATCTACCACCTCTTAAAATATCTGCACTCATTTCTGGGACACCCTGTATAGTCACTTACTAGCGAAAAGTTGTTCCATTATTTCACTCAATTTTTGCCAAGATCTACCGCACGCTACACAACCAACTATTTTAGAGTCTTTTTCGATAAATCGCGATAGTGTCACTGTTAATTTAAGTTCTGCCACAATTTCCATCTAGATTTACTACCTTTATCCAACTATCAGTAGTAGAATAAATAATAAATAACATAAAATCAGCTCCGTAAAGACTGACAAATCCACAAAATTTCAAATCAAATTCAAATGTGTCAAATGAATCGTCAAACAGAACTGTCAAGGATCCCCACCCTAGAGAGCTTTTATGGTGGCTTTTCCGCCCACCATGCATGAATACATGGATAGCATTATGCTCCTTCCTTAGTCTTCTTATTCAAAGGCTGTTTCTAATATTATTTTATTTGGCATTACTCAACTGCAATACGTTATTATCTTACGATCAATTAATTATTCCGAAGCCTTTTTATGATCTATTTATTAAACATTGTTTTTTTAACGATATACACATAACGCTTTACATTTTATTTTTTAAAAACTAAACACAACTATACACATAACCCTTTACATTTTTATTTTTTAATTTCAAATCGGTGAGTTTCATCAAAAAAACACAAGAGATAAAAACTAATAAACTAAACTATCCAAATTAATTTTTTTGTATGTGTTTGATAAGATTTTTCTTTAAATTTCGTTAACAAGAATGATAGGGGTAGTTTATTTCAACCCCTTCACTCATTTTAAAAAAGTGAGAAAATTACCAGAAAGTGTATTTTTATAACAGTAATGCTTCCATAAAATTTCATTAGTCTATCGCTTTTCGTTTTCAAGATAAAAAATAAAAACATTATTTTTCCGCCATCTTTGTACCGCGATATCTCCCTAATGGTTGACTTTTGACCCAACGTTTCTAAAGCAAACTACCCTTTATTTTGAACAAGGAATCATCCCCCGAAGTTTTTCACATTTGTTTTGAAAACCCTGTATATGTAATAATAAATATTTTACACTTATAGGATTATAAATTAAAAAAAAAAGTTTATAATATCATGAATTACACTAACCTGACATGATTTGCTTTTATTTCTTTTCCAATGACTTTTTTCCTCTTTGGTTGTACTTGAAGGTTTTACGCTGGAATATTGTGGTACCCTAGGATTTAGAGCTAGCAAGTTCTGAAATTCAAATTCAGTTTGGGTCAATCTTCTACATAACTTTCTTTTTTCATAAATAACATTATGGATTGTGGTGAAAACTACCCCCACCCCTACATAAATTTCAGTATAAATATTTTCCAACTCCACCAACGACAGATTTTCTTTTCGTAAAATAGTCCCTCTAGTATTTACTACTTTTCTTGTCTCAAAAAATGCTACATCGCATAGTTTTGGAGAAAAAATTTTTTTGGAGATTTTTTTTCCAAAACAGATTTACAAAATATACAGGGACTTCCAATATTCCGTGGATATAGAAGAACTACGTATTGTTACGGATTCCGTGGGTCCACTATTTAAACTCACGATAAAATACTTAACGAATTTATTTGTTTCACTCTGTACACACAACTTACACTATTTACAACACAACTTATGCAACTACTATTACTCTAACGGTATTTCGCGGTATTTTCAAACTTCAGACTATCTTCAGACTTGACTTCAAACTTGTCCAACTGTCAAAGCGCGGGCCTTATATACCCCCTGGCGGTTGTTTCTAGATTTTTCTAAAGAATTCTATAATTTTCTTTACTTTCTGGCGAATGCGCCAGGTTCCTCAATGCACGTTGCGATTTTTTAGCAGTATGCAGTTATGCAACCAGTAATACACCTTGACAGTATTTTTTGTATCAAAATAAGTTAATTGCACATAATTTACCTTTATACAAAAGTACTTCGTTTGTCCGTTATCAATCAAAAATAAACCCGAACGTTAATTAATTTAAAATTTATTATTTTTTAATTTTTTTATGAAACTTATTGTAAAATATAATAATTTGTGATACTAACATAAAGTTCCATATTTTCGCCAACTAGATTACAAGAGCATAAAAAAGTGACTAAAAATATTTTTTGACAGTCAGCTTGGGAAAATAAATATTTTTCTTAAAAAGTATGCGCGGAGGTTTTCTTACAAGACAATAAATGTAGTAAATACTAGTAAAGACCAATTTACGATAAAAAATCAGTCGTCGGTGTAGTTGGAAAATACTTATACTACAGTTTATGTAGGGGTGGGGGTAGTTTTTACCCTGCTTGTACTCTTTTCTGAATTTTGTGAAAGCCAAATATTAAAGCACTTAGCAAAACTTTCTTAAAATATCTGATGAAATGTGTTTATTTTGTTGTACGTTTGGAGCCCTCTAACGGACAAACGAAGCACTACTGTATAGAGGTAAATTGTTTCCAATGACCTTCTTTTGATTTCAGAAATACGTAGTAGTTCTATGTCCACGGAATATTGAGACACCCTGTATATTTTCTCTTTTTAGCATCTAATTTTTACAATAAAATAGGTCCACGACGACGCTCGATTTCACATTTAATATCTTGATCTCCCGTACTATAATAGCCGTGACCAGTTTGATATTAGCTAATATAATTAATAATAATAATTAACCAGAATTGTTTTAAAAATACGTCTCTAAATTACTGTATACCTAATTATTAAATTATTGTTTCTAAATATGTTTTAAAAGTTAAACTTAAAAACGCAAAATAAAAAATGTAGGAAATATACCGGGTGCGTCTCAAAAGTGGCTCACCCCCTATATACAGGGTCCGGCAATAGTGCGTCGGGCATCTGTAACTCCTAGAATAAAAAACTTGTGAATTTTGTTTAAGTGCAAACTTAAAGTATGTACCAGGATGTATTTCAGGAAAATATTTTAACTTCTATAGGGTGGCTCAAAAAAGTGTGAGTGGACTTGGATGATTCTTTTTAAATGGAACACCCTGTATATTATTAAATTTTTGGCTTCCTTTCAGATTACTTTACATAACCCTAAGATATGAATAAATATATTTCGATAGTTTCAGAGATATTTAAAAATAAATCAAAAATATATATTTTTCAGTCTTTCTCAAAAAAATTATTAAAAATACAAGAACTGTTCTGAAGTTAAAACTATATTAGGTATTTAGCTTTAGATGGTCTGTATGGGTAAAGCTATAAATATGAAATCATAAAAAAACATGAGTGTTCTAAATATCATATAAAATAAATTAAAATATTAAATAATTTTTGTTTGTTTTTTTTTAAATGGAAAGCCCTGTATATTATCGTTTTAAACAAGATAAAGTGAAAGTAAAAATGAAGAAATTTTGTATTTAGAGTATTTTTTTTTAATGGTTTCGCAGTGTAATATCACAATGTGGAGTTTTATATTACAAAAAATATGGCATTTTCCACAGTAAATTTTTATCAAAGCCACCCAGTGATTTTTCTCTCGTATTTTACCATTGAAAGCGCCATATGAAATAATATTACGCGTATTTGCAAAACCGTTAAAAATTTTGAAATACTCTAAATACAAAAAATGTTAATTTTTTAACGCTCCATCCAATAAAAAATAATATACAGGGTGTTCCATTTAAAAAAAAACAAAGAAAAAATATTTTATATTTTAGAAAGTTTGGCGTAGAATATTGAAGATCCTGTATGATTTACGATTACCATATTTATAGCAATGTAAGAACAGGCCATCTAACGTAAATATCTAATATAGTTTTGATTTCAGGACAGTTTCTGTATTTTTAATAATTATTTTAAGAAGGGCTGAAAAATATATATTTTTGATTTATTTCTTAATATCTCTGAAACTATCGAAATATATTTATTTATATCTTAGGGTTATGTAAAGTGATCTGAAAGGAAGCCAAAAATGCCATAATATACAGGGTGTTCCCTTTAAAAAAAATCATCCAGGTCCACTCACATTTTTTTGAGCGACCCTATAGAAGTTAAAATATTTTCCTGAAATACATCCTGGTACATACTTTAGGTTTGCACTTAAAGAAAATTCCCAAGTTTTTTATTATAGGAGCTACAGATGCCCGACGCACTATTTCCGGACCCTCTGTATACCTACATAACCTAACCTAACCTAAACGAGATTTGGTATGTTAGTATATGACATAAATTAAGATTGATTGACGTATTCAATTATTGTTTTCGGTCACTTCCTGTTTCACCGGAAATTACTACTTACAATTTTTAATTTTTAAATGGCACCCTCGGTACCTTTTTACTTTATTCGATAGAAATTAACACTCTGAATAGAATGATATATCATATGTCAACTTTGGACATTTTCGCATATTATGATTTATTTGAAATTATAACTTGCGGTTCGTAACAAAAATTTTACTCGAAATACAAAGTGTGTGACATCAAATTATTCGTAAAAAAATGCTTTTTCCAAATAGCTAATAAGCCACCCTCGTTCCATTTGAAATAATTGAGATATGATTAAAAATACGATTTGAGCATTTTCTAACTAGCCAGGACAAAACACTAAAAACATTAGACGATCAAATCTATTTTTCCTAGGCTCCTTGATTAAAAATTAGCGTTTTTAACATAGCCATAATGGCACTCTAGATTTAATTTTAAAATACGATTTTTTATTAAGCGAGAATGTCAAAAGCTGTCATATGATACGTCATTCTATTAAGAGTGTCAATTTCTATCGAATAAAGTAAAAAAATACCGAGGGTGCCATTTAAAAATCAAAAGTTGTAGTCATTTGCGGTAAAACAGGAAGTGACCAAAAACAATTGAATACGTCAATCAATCCTAATTTATGTCATATACTAACATACCAAATCTCGTTTTTTTACCTGAAAAAATAAAAAAGTTATAGGGGGTGAGCCACTTTTGAGGCGCACCCGGTATAATAGCCTTGACAATTTGATATTATTGAATTAAAAATAGCAGATTTTTAATATTTACATAAAATAACCAATCACAGTAATTCATTTTCAGATATTAGTGGTTTTAAAAGTATTTAAATCAAAATTTAAAAAATATTGATAATAACCGGAACTGTTTTAAAAATACATCTCTAAATTACCATATAATTATTAAATTATTGTTTCTAAACGTTTTAAAAGTTAAACTTAAAAACGCAAAATAAAAAATGTAGTATTTATCTGAAAATTATATGGACTATATTTAAAAGTAATCATTCTTTTTTAATGTGTTTTCGAATATACCTATATTAGATATAATATTGTTTTATTGTATGCCATATAAGTACCTCTATGTCTGGTAAATCTACGCTGACTTTGGCCATGGTAAAACGCACTGGTTTCGACACTGACACAAAATAAACTGAGTCAAATCACTTAACTGTTGTATCGCTTTCACCGTATCAATGACTGTTCTGGACCGTTATCGAAATTAGTTTATTATGATAAGAACCCTCAATTAAATCCACATTTAACAGATAATATTCTTTCATCTGTAGAACGTCGAAAAATGTTGTTTATTTTTGTTAGAAAAATCTAGATGTAAACATTGATTGAATAATATTAATGTTTAGCGTAAAGTTTGCTAATAACGAATTTACATAAAATATAGAATTACATACTGCGCTTCAGTCCTTTATCATAGATAGGCAACTATCTATGATTTTGTGTTCCCGGTACTAGTACGGGGCCAAACGATGAACTTAAAATTTTTGTGCTTAAATTTTTTATGAACAGCTACTAAATATATTATATATATATATATATATATACAGTGTGACCCACTCAAGACCGGGCACCCTCCATAAAATCTGTGTTTATAGTCCGATTTTGATGATTTTTATTTCAAATATAAAGTTTCAAAAAATGTACTTTAGGGCTCAAAGTCATGTTATTTCACAAAAAAACAAGGCCTATTCAAGGCCTATACAAGGTCAATTATTGGCTTCCCTAATTATTTTAGAGAATAATTCTATTCAGATTTATTGAAGAGCACTAAAACCCACATTCAAAAGAATAACTTTAGATATTTTTGATTAGCCCCGTTTACGAGTTATCGCCGATTTCTTTTTAGATATTTTTTCTTTCTTATGGCCCTGTATTTACTTATGAGCACCAGTCAAGGTAAAAGATAACTGTCAAATGAAGTTGTCATTTCAGAAATTTATCTATTTAGTGCTTTATTATTATTATTATTAAAAACTCATACCTACATCGAAAATATTAGCCATGAATTACACTACCGAAGAAAAAGTATTGATGATTAAATGGTATTATCAAGGATATAGTTATCAAAAGGTATCGAACATGTTTGCTGGTCTGTATCCGAATAGACCGATACCTGGAAAATCTACAATCGCAAGGAATATCCAGAGATTTGAGACCGAAGCTACCCTAATAAATAACTGCAGATGTGAAGCAAGGCAGGAGCAAAGAGAAGATGCAAGAAATGATACCGACTTGGAAGTTTTATTGTGCGTGGAAGAGAACGATGGAAAGATCAGCACAAGGAAACTTGAGGATGAAATAGGAATAGATCACACTACAGCGTTTCGAATTTTGAAACGACATAAATACTATTCCTTCAAATATGAGATGGGGACGAAATACGGCGGCAGGCGTTTTGTTTTGATATGATGGAAAGAGCAAACACGGATAGGGAATTTTTAAAAAACATATGTTTCACTGACGAATGCAAGTTTACCTTAAATAATGAACCCAATGTTCAAAATTATCGATATTGGAACAAAGAAAACCAACACAGTTTTGTCGAAACAAGGACGCAATATCCACAGAAAGTAAATGTTTGGGCAGGGATATTCGGACACAATGTTATAGGGCCATTATTTCTTACGCGAAATTTAAATGCAGAATATTATTTGGAACTACTCGAAAATCATATTTTACCTACTTTATATGATGCCGCTAGGAAAAATCAGGAAGTTTGGTACCAAATGGATGGCTGCCCGGCACATAGTACCCTGGCTGTTCGGGAATATTTAGACAATAGTTTTACCGGAAACGTTATTGGCCTAAATCATACAGTAAATTGGCCAGCAAGGTCTCCTGATATTTCGCCAAATGATTTCTTTCTCTGGGGCCATTTAAAAAACAGGATATACAAGGATAAAAAATACCCAAATCTAGACGAGTTTAAAAATGCTATTTCTGCCGAATGCAATAGAATTTCAGTTTACCAACTAGCGAATGCAAGAAGAGAATTTTATGATCGCCTGGGTTATTGTTTAGCAGTCGATGGAGGAATATTTGAACATCTTAAATCCTAAAGTTCTAACAATATAATAGTACCTAAATTAATAAGTTATTGAATATTGTAATAATACTATAATTAACCTTGTAATTGATTACTTTATTTTACTTTAATTCATATTAATTTGTATTTATAAATACATCTTTAAGATTTCCGATGTAGGAATAAGTTTTCAATAATAATAAAGCACTAAATAGGTAAATTTCTGAAATGACAACTTCATTTGACAGTTATCTTTTACCTTGACTGGTGCTCATAAGTAAATATAGGGCCATAAGAAAGGAGAAATATTTAAAAAGAAATCGGCGATAACTCGTAAACGAGCTAATCAAAAATATCTAAAGTTATTCTTTTGAATGTATGTTTTAGTGCTCTTCAATAAACCTAAATAGAATTAATTATTCTCTAAAATAATTAGGGAAGCCAATAATTGACACCATTAAAATTTACTATGTCCCGTCCGACGATGCAACACCCGGTATACATCACTTTTTCAAATACAGTTCATGCTAACATATTAATATCTACAGTTGCCGCATATGGATCGTGCACATTTGATTCATGGGATTTTCGTTTTTTGTCATTTCTTCGTTGACATACACCACATCTTTTTTTTTGGCAATGATTATTCAATTTTCTCTCTTCTGTAAGTAAGAGATTCAGAATCGGAGTTATAGTTACTCTTCGGAGAAAAATCAATGCATCGATGATCTTGACATCACTTAAGTCTATAAGTTCATCAAACCACTCAGTTAATGCTTCCTCAAAATTAGCGTCCCCGTGATGCCCAATTTTTGGACTATCCACTGTCCTAATAATGAAACATTCTTGGCGTGGTGGTGTCATATAGACCCCAATGCAATTTTACCCCCTGCTGGTGCAAACAATCCTTGATAAAAACAGGTGCGCCTTTAACAGTTAACAGCGGCGAGGCCTAAATACATTTAGGCCTCGTAGCATGATAAACGTAAAAAAATTACAGAAGTTTAAATCGTTCTTGGGGTCCGCTAGACCCCACCACTCCAGTTAAGGGTTAAAAAGAGCTCCTATCTCGACGACATGACAACGCTTGTTGAACGCGCTTTTTTAGGAATTACAATAATTGCCTAGTGCAGTTCAAATTTTGCTATATTTTACAATATGTTATCAATAAATAAAAATGGTACATTTCCAAAAAAGGTTTTTTTTGTGTGTTTATGTTCAGAAAAAAGTCCAGAATGAAAAACCGAAACGTCTTTTCATGAAACTGGTTTCAGCTATCCTAGAGTTGAAAAATTGAAAATTATGCGTTTTCGCAAAAAAATTTTCGTGACTCGTGAGTCCTAAAGATTAATTAAGCTCTATTTAATATAAGTATAAAATATAGCCCTTACCTCTGTTGAGTCTATTATTATATGTTTAGCATGTCTACAAAAATTTCGAATACTGGGTGCATAATAATTAAGATGTACAGGGTGGTTCAATAATAGAGGGCCCCGCCCAGAGGGGTATTTCTGTCTTAAAACTGCCCATAAGACGGGGACCATTTATTCTTTGACACTGACATTGCGCGGGCTGTCAAGACGATTTCTATCGAAAAATTAGGTTAATTTTCGTAGTTTTTAGTAAAGGTAAAGAATAATGTTTCCATACCAGTTCTCGGAAATTCCAGACAAGGGACTACTGAAATCCAGACTTGAAACCTAAATATCGAAACGGCCTTATTTTTTTATTCTTCTTGTGTGTATTATTAAGTAAAACATTACACCAACAAATCGACTGGATATATCCGACGTAAATAATAGAAGCCCTAGCGAAACAAAAGGTATTCACAGACCTTATATAGAAACTCTCGCCAATATATGACAAAGACGCCAAAGAGTAATGTTATAACAGCAAGAGTAATGTTATATAAAACAACCCAAGAGTTCCCAACTGGCAAACGAGTAGGACAGGGAAATGCGTTATTCCCGAAGCTTTTTACTGCAACACTAGAAAAGGCCTTCCGTCACCTAGACTGGACCAGCAGCAAAGGAATAAAAAAAGATAGAGATCTTAACCATCTAAAATTCTCTGATGGCATTGTCCTAATTGCCAATTTTCATGAAGAACTAGAAACCCAAATTAATGAACTAAACACTACTAGCAATAAAGTAAGTCTCGAAATGAATTTAGAAGAAAATAAAGTAATGTACACTGGTAGACAGACAAAAACATTCATAATATATAACACAAAACTGGCAATAATAGAAGAATACATACATTTCGGACAACTAATACACAGCTCGGGATCTCTATTACCAGAAATCAACAGAAGAATTAAGTTAGCATGGAGTACTTATGGAAGAAACTCAATCACATTCAAATCTAGAATACGACTCTATCTAAACAAGAAAACGTTCGACCAATGTGTACTACCAGTCAAGACATATCCATGCGACATCTGGACACTTAAAACGGACATTAAAAGGATATTGCAGGGCGCACAACGTTCAATGGAACGAAATATGCTGGGAATAACCAAGAAAGACCGTAAAAGAATAGAGTTGATACAACAAAAAAGCCAGGTAATAGATGTCATCCACAGAGGTAATAGATGTCATCCACAGAATCAAATCCCTCTTGTGGCAAGAAGGAGGAACAACAGATGGACCACAAAAATTACAGCATGGTACCTACGAGGAATTGAGACTTAGAAGAAGACCGAAACTGAGATGGGACCATGATATTAGCAAATTAAGAAGGATAACTTGGACGCGAATAGCCAACAATAGACAACAATAGGCCCAACTACAAAGAGAGTATCTGGGGGTATGGTAGATGGACACATGATCTTATACCAGACATTAACGCCTGGTTAGACAGAAGCTTTGGAGAGACTGACTACTTTCTAACTCAGGCATTGACAGGGCACGGATGCTTTAACAGCTATTTGTATAAAGGGAGAGATCCACCTCAAATTTGTGTATATATTGCAAGGAAGTTGACAGTGTCGAGTACACGCTATTCCCAACTATTCCTCTGCAATGAATGGAAGCAGTTTAGAGAGTCATTCCAACGGGACAGTGGCGGACAAGTCTTTAATGCTAAAAATATGATGCAAGGCCTGAAATATCATGGAAAACTACATATACAGGGTTGTGAACCAGCACCTAAATACCATACCAAAGAACCATAAACCTAATTTTAACGAAAAGAGTTAGTAAATATAGGAAAGGAAATAGCAGGAAAAACTTGTAAAAATATTAACAAATATACAAAAATGAACGTAAATAAAACAACTCTAGTTAAAACAATTCATTTCATTTTATTTTCATATCACATAGTAATGTGAAACTTAGTTAAAATATGTACAGCTAAAAAACACAGGTTTTACTTGTTCTATTTAAAACGTTCAATTTTTTCATTCATCAAGCAATGCAAGTTTCTGTTTTCTGATAAATGGTAAAACCTGAGTTACTTTCTACAGTTTTTTTGGGGAGGGAAAACTTCATAATAAAAAGTAATATTCTCCTATACCTTGTTATTTAGAATATGGTTCTTGAGCGTCTCCTATAAGGTAGATCAAGTACTTTCATAAAATAAAGTTATCAAAACAGTGGTATTATTATGTACAATTCTATCATATAAATTATATATGGTTATACCAATCGATTGAAAAAAAGACGGCGTCAGAGATGGAATGGAAATGAAGATCGATATCATTTCATATGGAAAATGTCATCAATCCTCATCTCATATCCCAGGCAACTATATAAAATATTTGATGATAATAAGCTTTACAATCTTCGTTCATATTAATGAAAACTTCAAAAATATTTGCAGTTGGAGTCACAAGATTCTGTTTAGTATTAATTACTTTTTTTTAGTAAAAGCTTCAATTTTGTTAGTGATCAAGGTTATTTTTAAAGAAAACAATATTGGAAATTTTAAAAAGTACAAATAATCAAGAAATTTCAAAAATTAATCATCAAATGAAGATCAAGAATCAAGACGAACCTGTAAGAAACACCCAGTGTATAATAAATGTATTATGCATTGAACTTTTGACTTATAAAAACGTATTTAATTACAAACAATATTTCAACACGCACAGAACACAATCGTTTATTTTTTAATGCACTTCTTTCATCTAATTACTTATAGTATGATATACGATTGAAATAAAAGAAAGCCAATAAAGATAACACAATGGTAAAGCAATAAACGATCTAAAATTACGTTTCGAGATATGGTTGAATAAAAGAAACAGAAGTCAACACGTGTTGTTTTGAATGATAACAAGTATAGTCTATACAGGAAATCATAATAAATACATTTTTTAATGAAAGGAATACTACCAAGGATTGTGTTGTGTTTTAACAATAGAAGAATATTTCTTTTGGATGGGTTTGTATTCTACATATTCTGAAAAAGTGTCATATTTTTAAAACTAGTGGTTTGTATTTTTTTTGTTTTTTTTTCTAGAATGTACGATATAAAGATATGGAGTTATATGTTAAAACTGTTAAGTAGAATTAATAATTTTGAAAAATTGGTTAGTAATTATTCCAGTGGCATGGCCTAATGGAAGGTAACCCGAAAAGAACGTGTGGTATATGAAGTTTTTGGGTCCCTATAATAATACTTTTTAAAATACTTTCAAAGTTCAACTCTGTACTTTATCACTAATATTTTTACTATAAAATAAAACAAGGGTTACGAAAACCTCTTATTGAATAAATCTACAAAGAATAGATTAAACAAATATATGCATGGACTGCAAAATACATCAGTCATTAAAATATTCTTCCGTTTCCCTCTTATTCTAAGAAGCTAAATTTGACTGCGAATCCGTCAATTTGGCAACTCTGCACACACTCTAGAATGAATTTAGAAGATGTGCATATGCATTATTTATGTTATATTTATATTTTGAGAAATTTTAAGAGTTCGATTTAAGGTCTGCTCATTAGAATCTGTGCCTCTGATGGTATGTACAGGGTGGGTCCAATTGGACGCTTTTAAAGAGAAACACCCTTTTCTATAGGAGATAAATAATATCGGTGTCTGGAGCTCAATTTTTATCAAAAACATCATAATGAAAACAGTACATCGATATCTGTTACGGGAGTTACGGGGTGTTTTTCAAAAATGTGCGTTTTTAACATAAAATTTAATGGTTTAGGTATAATTTTTTAAAAATTGATAATTTAAGAGTTATCAACAGAAAAATTGATTTTTTATTTGGCACACTCTGTATATTTTTAATTAACTGAAAAGAACTTAAAATTACCTTTAGAAAAATATAGAACACTTGATATTTTGTTATAGTCCCCTTCGAAATACAGAATTTTTAAAAGTTCGCCACTTTCAACTAGTAGGCTTTGGACCTCTCATTGATGATCTGCTGCTAATGGAACTCGAAAACATATTTTTCTGGCAAGACAAGGCACCGCCTCAGAATGCTGCAGTTATCAGCAAATTTTTGCAGCCAATTTCGAGAATAATTGAACAGCTAACCAAGATGGTTGTCGTTGGCCGTCGAGCCCGCCGGACTTGTTAGTAGGAGTGTCACATATGTCGAACACCTGCAGCAAAATCCCATGTCTTGGTTTGCCATTTATTTTTATTGTTATTAGATATAGTTTAAATGTGTTGATGTTTTTAAATATAGTTTAAATTGTCATAAAATTCCGCACCTCTCATTGCAAGATTATTTTCGTTTTAATTGCTGCTCACAGATAGAATTTTTTTGCATTACTGCCGGCGCCGTTCAAAGCCTACTTATTCAAAGTGGGCGAATTTTTATAAACTGTATATCTCGAAGAGGAATCGAGCAAAATATCAAGTGTTCTATATTTTTGGAAAAGTAATTTTAAATTTTTTTCAATGAATTATAAATATACAGGGTGTAAACCAATATATACCAAACCAAACCAAACCAATCAAATTTTCTGTTGATAATTCTTTTTTTTAATTCTGAATAATTTAAAAAAAATTATACTTAAATCATTAAATTCTACGTAAAAAGATGCTTTGGAAATGTCTTCATAAAATACAAAATTTTCCATAACAAAAAAGTTACAGCGATTTGATAGAAATGCACATTTTTGAAAAACACCTCGTAACTCTGAAACGACAACAGATATCGATGTACGGTTTTCACCATCATGTTTTTGATAAAAATTGAGCCCCAGACACCGATATTAGTTTCCGCCTATCTCCTATAGAAAAGGGTGTTGCCCTTTAAAAGCTTTCAAATTGGCCCACCCTGTACAGATTGCCCGCCTCGATTAAAAGTACGCTGATAACTGAAACGATTTTAAAGTTCAGTAGCTTCTGTATAATCTTTATATATCGTACATTCTGAGCAATGTTTTTACCTTTTATTTTTTGTCTTTATGCCCAAAGAGTAAAATATGGCAATGTAACAAAATAATCAGGAACATCATTTTTGTCTTTTTTTTCAGAAATTGTTTCATTTCACATATGTTTTAATACATTTTACATACAGAAGTCGTTAGGCATAACAGACCTAATATTTTTACGTGATTTTTAAAAACGGGGTTGTTTATAACAGTACAAA